CTTAAACAAGCACATAAAACACTCACATTTAAGTCTAGTTATTCACTTCCTATTGCAACTTTGAAGTGGGAAGACTGAACTGTAAGTAAAAAAACACAGATGTTGTAATTGTGTCCATATGAATAAATCTGTGCAAAAATGAAAGGTGTTCTAAAGAAGAACTCCAGGTATGGATATTTTTACAGTTACATATTTCAATGATACAATAATTCCATTGGTCCAGCTAAACCAATGTACTGTAACTTTGCATATTCCATACTTGTGGTATCCCTCTAGAAGCTGGAAACCACTGTAATAGACACCACTAATCTAATGATCTCCATTAGCTATGAGCGCTTTCCTTTCTTCATTCTGAACACAGGAATTTCAGCTGCTGGGTACGGGTGCCATTCAGAGGATATTTTGCATTTACTCAGTGAATGCAAAGTGTTCTCTGATTGGAGGACCTGGAAAGGCAGGGTGGCGTTGTCAATGTCTCTACCTTTTCTAATCAGAGAATGCTTTGCATTTATTGAGCAAATGTAACGTATTCTCTGAATAGTACCCACGCCCAGCAGCTGACCTCCTGTGTTCAGAATGCAGCAGGGTAGCCACTCGGCATGGGATCCAGAAGTTAATAGAGATCACTGGAGTAATGGTGTCTACTGTAGGGATTTCAAGCTTCTAGAGGGATCACTCTGGTATGGTATATACATAGTTACATTGGTCCAAGCTGCGCCAGTGTACTGTATGTTGTAACTATGTAAAAATATCCAGACCTAGAATTCTTCTATATTTTCATCCACAGTCAACAAACCTGCAGGCTGCAAGTTATTATACATGCCTGCTATAGCCTAAAGATGAAACTGTATCTAAACTAAAAAAAAATTATAATATCTTGCAGCTATTTCAGTCATTAGATGTGATAGCTGCTTAGATTTTTTTTTAGATTTTCTTTGTTTTATTTTAAACTGTCAGTCCAATCAGTAATACACTTCGAGAGAGATTTACTAAAACTGGCACACTCAGACCATGCAGCTGTGCATGGTAGCCAATCAGCTTCTACCTTCAGCTTGTTCATTTAAGGTTTTATTGTAAAACCTGGAAACTGATTGGTTTCTATGCAGAGTTGCGCCAGATTTGGCACTATCTAGTTTTAGTAAATAACCCCCACAGTCTTTGAAGTAAATCAGTAATTGTCAGCAATATGTTTACATTTCAAAATCGTTTTCAAATTCAATTTCGTTTTTGAATAATGAAAATGTTGTCCAAATTTTGTTTCAGGATGACACATGCCTAATGAGAGTGTGAAAGTCATGAATAGCACTTTGCACCTTGTCTGAGGCATACCATATGTGCAGGTATAAAAAAGTGATGTTGAGGAAGAGTACTTTAGGGCAATGGACTGACCAAGTGGCCAAAGCTAAGCCTAAGTCCCCGGTCCTTTTGGTGGGCTCCTGACAAGAAGTGAGGTGGGGATATTGTCCTGAGGCCAGAACCTGCCCACACTTCTGAATTTCAGAGTTTAGCTACATTTGGAAGGCTTTTCTAAAAGCAGCTGAACTAACGATTAGAAACATTTAGTTACACAGTCCATAAGAATGAGCTCAACAAAAGTCCTGCGTCCAGCCCAAGAGTGCCCAACGATGAGCAGCCGCTAGAGCTCACAGATTCATTCCCACACAGGGAAAAAAGACCCCCCTTCTCGGAGCTCTAGACTATTTAACAGGAACCTATCCACCGGGGGCACACCGCCCCAGGGATTGGATAGGCCCTACTAAATATTCAGGCCGGTTATTTGAATCCTCCCATCCTTATATTTAGAGGCTTCTCCCAGATTCAGAGGATGGTAATTCCTGTAGAGCAATAAGCAGACCAAGCTAAACGATTGTGGCTCCTATGGCTGCAACAGAAGACCCTTAATAAATTTACCTAACAGGCTATGTGTGAGGGTCATACATTGGGATAGGTTCTGATTTCCTCATTGGGACAAAATATCCCCCAGTTAGTATGTTAGGGGATGTACCCATCTTTGCTTCATTTTCCTTTTTCTCTGCCTCTCTATCTGCCTCAATCTTCTTCTGCTCTCAACCAGGCACACAATGGTAAGCACCAACTTGACTCCGTTTTCCATTTCAATTGCAAAGCTCTATCTCCTTGCTCAGAACACTACCCACAAAAAAGGCAGAGGAGGTGCCTGGCATATACATCACCCCAAAAATGGGGTATTGGAAAAAATGCCTGAAAATACTGACACACATAAACACAGGTAAATGCAAAACTGCAACTACTGCAGGAAATATTAAATATTTTTTCAAGGGCAGATTACTGGAATTTAGCTGCTGTCAGATACAAACATCTGTGTGAATGTAACCGTTGGCTCCCACTGCTGTTAATCACAGCTAGTGAGGAGGGAGCAGGGGGGGGGTGGGGCTGAGCCACATTCTGTGTGTCTATAGACACACAGAGCGGGGCTCAGGAGTGAGCATGCATGAGTGCCCCCATAGCAAGTGGCTTGCTATGGGGGCATTTGTGGAGGGGGGGAACCAGGAGCGCTGGTGGGGGACCCTAGAAGAGAGGGTTTGGGGCAAAACTGTTGCACAGAGCAGGTAAGTATAACATGCTTGTTATTTTTTTTATTTACCTTTAGTATCACTTTATTAAAAATAAAATATCCTTTTTTTGTAATTTGCCAAGAATTCTGTAAAATAAGCCTCTTTAGGCACTATACATAGCAAGAATGTTGTTTATGCATTTTTATACTAGTTCTTGGTTTACTATGAGGAAGATTAGTAAATAGTAAAGTATTTCTTCAGTGCATGCTAAAATGCATTAAACCTTTAGACAGTCTACAAATGCCTATACAAATGTAACATCCCTCTGTGACCCTGTGTAGGGTGGCTTGGTATGCGGATGCATAAATTCCTCTTTGTTTACAGTCTGATGAGATGGTGAGGTGAACAGCTCTTTATTAAACTCTTCCCTAAACAGACACCACATCACAGAATCTGCATTTTTTATAGTAACTTTTTTGATTCATCTAGTGGTTCTTTCCGCAATCTATAGCTGGATTTATAGCTTCAAGACTTATGGTAAATTGACCCCCCCCACAGTCTGAATCAGAAAACCATAGTAGTAAAAGTAACATAGGTATTTGGTCAGGAGGGTGCTAATAGAAGAAAAAAAAAATCAAAGTTCAAAGCTGTAAACACTAAAAACCAACAGGAAATTATTGACTTGATACCAATTAGGAAGAAGACAAGATTCTTCAGTAAATATCAAATTACTATTTTCCAAGTTTATAACATCCATATAATTTTATTATGAAAACTTTATAGGCTTTGGACTGACATTTAAGATTTTGCTATGTTTAAAGCTGAAGCTTAATTTGCTTATATTTTGACTATCTTGGGTTTCTCTTTCCCCCTTCTTTAACATACTGATGAAATTTTTAAATTAAACCTTTCCATTTTCATTTCATATCTATTTTAGACCCATTGACATCATCACTGGGTCTCTGAGCTTTTGCATGCAATACAGGCAGATCATGGCTGGTGGGAGGGGATAAAGGAGTACTGTACAGAGTTTCCTGAAAACATCACTGCACCTTCGATTAGTTCTTGTCTCATATGTCCTGAGCCCTGATGCAAGCAGTGGGCTGGCTCTTGGGAAGAATTATGCAAATATCAAATATGCCTGATGCCTATCAGTCTGGACCAGTGGGAGTTTCAATCCAGGCTGCATTTGAATGTAGACTGTCCTTGAAAATAGTGCAAGACATCCACCAGCAGGAAATGAAGCAGACACTATCTGGTTTGCTGCAGCTTCTAATGCACACATGTGGGTAGGTGCAGCAAGGTGAGGGTAGTAAATACACCAAGTCCAGCTGCAGCAAAACTTGAAACGTGTATTAAACAGCATGCCAATGTTACAGACACCCTGGCAGGACAACACCTCTAGGGTAACTCACACTTCAATGTTGTCAGAAGTGTAGGAGAAGGGTGTCGACAGCGTCTGCTTCAGACGGTGAAACACAGCCTGACTGGTCCGGTCCTAAGAGGGAAGCTCCTTTCCAAGATAGAGTCCCTAATCTTTCCCTCCTTGCCAGGAACCTTTCTCTACTGCTATTTACTTTCCCTAACAAGCAAGATCTCTCTGCCTACACTGGCCACACGCTAGAAATGTGCCAAATCCTGGGGACAGGGACTTAAATAGACCCTGCTGACCCAAGATGACTGTCAAGGGTCACATTGGTGCAGCTTAACCAACCCAAACACTGCTCAAATGAACCTGGAAACCATAGAGAAACATTGTTTCTCTTGGTCTTCCTCTCCAGGCTGAGGTGCCCATGAGCGCCACATGCAGTGGAGACAACAAACTGCACCTGCCTACACGCAGTGTGCAGTGAGATCAGAATAAGTGTTTTCAGTTAGGGAGAGGAGCTTGTTGAAAGTAAGGCTGGAGTTCATCTTTAAAGAGGAGGAATTGGAGCTACTTAATGCAGTGCTAATCCAAAAACACCAAGCTCTAGGAATACATGAATGATGAATCTTTCTAATACAGATTCCAACCATTTACTCACCAATCATTTCATGGCAATCACTGACATGCCAAGACTGGGGGCACAGAAGATAAAGATACATTTTATGTACACTGCATCAGTACCCCTGGAATCAATGAGTAGAAGGGTGGGGAAACCAATCACCATCCCTTTAACCACTTGCCTACCGGGCACTTATACCCCCTTCTTTACCAGGCCAATTTTCAGCTTTCAGCGCTGTCGCACTTTGATTGACAATTGCGCGTTCATGCAAGATTGTACCCATATGAAATTTTTATCATTTTTTTTCACTAATAGAGCTTTCTTTTGGTGGTATTTAATCGCCGCTGGGCACTTTACTTTTTGCGCTATAAACTAAAATTGCAAAAAATTTAAAAAAAAAAAAGTTTCTTTGTTTCTATTATAAAATTTTTCAAACAGCTAATTTTTTCTCCTTCACTGATGTGCGTTGATGAGGCAGCACTGATGGGCACTAATAGGTGGCACTGATGGGCACTGATAGGCAGCACTAATGAGGTGTCATGGATAGGCGGCACTGATAGACAGCACTGATAGGTGGCACTGACTGGCATCACTGCTGGGCACTGACTGGCTGAACTGCTAGGCATTGACTGGCGCAACTGCTGGGCACTGACTGGAACAACCACTGGGCACTGACTGGTGGCAATGACTGGCAGCACTGCTGGGCTGCACTGACGGGCACTGGTGGGTGGCACTGGTGGGCACAGGTGGGTGGCACTGGTGGGCACATGTGGGTGGGTACAGGTGGGTGGCACTGCTGGGCTCAGGTAGGTGGCACTTCTAAGCACAGGTGTGTGGCACTGCTTAGCGGCACAGGTGGGTGCACTGTTGGGCACAGGAGGGGGTGCACTGCTGGGCACAGGTGGGCGCACTGCTAGGCACAGATGGGTGCACTGCTGGGCACAGGTAGGCGCACTGCTGGGAACAGGTGGGCAGAACTGGTGGGTGGCACTGCTGGGCACCGATCATCAGGGCACTGATCCCTGCTCTGACAACTGCCGGTTTTCGGCAGTACTTTCCTCACGCTCTGACAGCGTGAGGAAAGTGCAGCCGAGAACCAGCAATTGCATTTCCCGGTGATCAGCGTGTCATTGGACACGGCTGATCACGTGGTAAAAGGCCACTGTGATTGGCCTTTTACCACATCACGTGATCAGCTGTGTCCATAGGACACAGCGATCACGGAGATCGCCGGGTGCGCGCCCCCGAGTGCGTTCTGGGAGGATGTCATATGACACCCTCGCAGAACTGGCCGGCCGCAGTGTAGCGGTCATTCGGCTATCTGCGGTCGGCAAGTGGTTAATCTGCTAGCAGTTTGTTTCTAGGGTTACAGACCTAAAATAGATGAACTGTTAGTAAAGACCAGGACTTTTTTTCTCAGAGAAAAAGGTGCAGGAACTCACCCCTTCTGAGTCACCCCTTATCTCCGTCCTTTTCCCACTCTGAATACCATCCCTTGGTTACCGACCTCCCAGTACTGCCAATTTTAGAGAATATGGAACCAAGTATCATTTGGTGGTGCTAAGTAATCTGTATACAATTTGTTAATGATAACAAGAAAAGCAGTAAACTAGATCCCCTGCAACCAGCCAGCAATAATAGACCCCCCCACAGTAAAAAAAAATATAATGCCCAGCAACAGTAGATCATTCACAACAGCATCAACAGTAAGCACACAGTTTGCTCTGAAAGCAGTTTGAAACCTTATATTATACACAAGAGATTCTTACTTACAGCAACATGAGGTGTTGGTGGCTTTGTGCCTTCCCTGGCTGCCCTAAGATACTGCTTTTGTTGGCTATGTAGGCATTTTCTTCAGTGGCCCCATTGGATAACATTAACAGAAATAGGACAAACTGTAAATGTTGTGCTTTGACATTGATCCTGGTACTGCAAGCACTGAATCATGAGTAAAATCTGGTAAGCATAACCTTGTTGAAATCATGTCTTCTCAGTTCACCTTAAAGTAGACCTTTCATGAAAAGAATTTGAGAATTTACTTTGTTGACCTATTTAAAAAAGTTAGTTCCTGAATATTGTTTACCCACTAAATTTAATAGTTTAGAAGCCCTCATTTGCAAGATTGTTCCGAGTCAGAGACTGTAAGTATTGAAATTAGAAGGTCAGCATGTGATCCAGGCAACATACAAGGATGTCTATCCTTCCTAAAGTTATAGAGCAGTGGTCTCCTAACTGTAGCCCTGTGTGGCTCTTTGCTTGCCTTTATCTGGCCCTTGAGTCAGTACTCCTGCCATTGACACCAATATTAGGGCACTAGTCCTTCCACTGACACCAACAATGAGGAATAGTTCCCTCCATTGACAACAAAAATGGGGCACTATTCTCTCACCACCGGCACCAACTATTTCTCCCCCTAATACCAAAGATCAGACATTGCTTACTCCCATTGGGCACAGTCAGGCCCCCTAAAGTCCTTAGACAGTAAACTGGCCCTTTTTTTTTACAACATTTGGAGACCCTTGCTATGGAGGATGAGAAACAGGATAAAATCTGAGCCCTTAAATATACTTGTCTACATTTGGATGCTGTGTAGTACCAGCACAAAAAGAGGACAGCAACTGTGAGCTAGGTAGCTAATCACACAAGATGATGTCACCATATTGCTTATGTTCACTCTCAGCCTGGTTTAGACTTCCATCAACTTTAATAGCATTTCTGGTTCTAATTTTTTTTTATAATTTAGCTGAACCACAATTATTTCCTAATCTCTAGTACTTACTTACACCTCCATAACTCAAGATGTACAGTATTAGGGACAAAAAACAAACAAACTGGCATTGACCGCCTGTATCAAACTTTGCATTTTGAAATCTGTTATTTCTAAAACACCACACAACACTTTACTATATTTTTTGATAGACTTCCATCATGTCTGATTCCATAAATACATAACATCTATCTAAAACCTCTAGTTTTTTACTTTTAGAGTGTAATGCTTTCTAGAGGTTGCATGCTTTTTGGGAGCATGCAAACGTTTGCCTTGACAGGACTATGATTTAGCAGCCAATCGTTTGGTTTAAGCACTGTCACATGACCAAGGGACTAAGGTCACTGCTACCCCTAGTGCCAGACCCCAGCCAACACTAGCGGATTTAGTGCTGCCTGAATGGGGGCCTCCACACATACACTGTCACTTTTCCCCTTATTGCCAAGGTGAAAATGTTGATCAATGTAAAATTGGTGGTTGATGATGGCAAAGGAATATAAACAGTATATATATATATATATATATATATATATTGCAGATTCAGTCTTCCCAGCCTGGTGCAGGTCTACAATTTTGTTTCTGGTGTCCTTCGACAGCTCTTTGGTCTTCACCATAGTGGAGTTTGGAGTGTGACTGTTTGAGGTTGTGGACAGGTGTCTTTTATACTGATAACAAGTTCAAACAGGTGCCATTGATACAGGTAATGAGTGCAGGACAGAGGAGCCTCTTAAAGAAGAAGGTACAGGTCTGTGAGAGCCAGACATCTTGCTTGTTTGTAGGTGACCAAATACTTATTTTCCACCATAATTTGCAAATAAATTCTTTACAAATCAGCCAATGTGATTGTCTGGATTTTGTTTCTCATTTTGTCTCTAATCGTTGAGGTCTACCTATGATGCCAATTACAGGCCTCTCTCATCTTTTTAAGTGGGAGAACTTGCACAATTGGTGGCTGACTAAATACTTTTTTGCCCCACTGTATACTGTTTATATACATATATCTATATATATATATATATATATATATATATATATACTGTTTATATCTATATCTATATATATATATATATACTGTGTATATATATATATATATTATTTATACTGTATATATGTCCATAAGTTTAATATACATGTTAATAATTACCATCAATGCTTAGGTTAATGCAGGGGTGTCAAACTCAATTTCATTCAAACAAAGGGCCGGTTGTATCCATAAGACTAGATATCCAGAGCATGGCACCCCCCCCCCCCCACCATCAGAAGTTTGGAGTCCCCCACCCTCCTTTACATCACAGCATCTTCTGAATGCTGAGATCAGGGGAAGAGGAGATGAGGGGGTGCTGCAGCTGCACATTTGTGGCGCAGGATCTGTACGGGTAGTCCTGTCCATCCTCTCTGCTGCTGACTGCTGAGACTGTTGTTCAGAGACAAGCCGCCCCTTTGCAGCTGCACAAAGGGTCACAGGGTATGGCAGAGGAGTTCTGTCCTCCTTTCTGCTGCTGACTGCTGCTCCAAGGTGGGAATGGAGAGGAGGGCTGCGAGGGGCACATGAAATGGCCTGGAGGGCCGCATTCGGCCCTCAGGCCCTGTGTTTGACACATGTGGGTTAATGGATTGATAAACATGTGAAATGTGGTTAGATACCAATTTGAGTGGCCATGCACTGAGATCAATAAAAGCAATCGGGCAATGTTCTGTGAATTCAGGATTTACTAAAATGATAGTGACGCCAAAATAAAATTAGATCTGTTTCACTTCTGAAAGTGGCAACAGCAAAATACAAGAAAATAAAAGAATACACCACTGGCTTTAGATTATATTGTTGTGACAAATTAATTTCTCTGACAAATTTGACAGTGTAAGGCCAAACTGTGAATTCATCAGCTTTGTAAATGGCCTTAATTGTCTGTCTTGCACTTTTACGCTAATAGGGGCTCTCGACACATGTATTCTCCAGAAAAAATAAATGTTGTAATTATGGTTATGTTTATGAGGGAAATATAGTGACAGATATGTATTTGGAATTTTTTAAATGTTGTCCGTGTATGCTGATCACTATTAGAAAAGTATTCCATAAACACAGCTGTATTTTCCAAATACTGCTTTTTCTACAAATTCTGCGAGGCAATGATCAGCACTGTAACATATCAAAGAAGGTTCAGCTAAATGACTGCTGTGTGTAATAAATACTATTTAAAAATGTGTAAATATTACTGCCGTCTCATTCAAAATTTGAAGAATTGTAGCAAGCATTTTTAGTCCAAAATAGCAAATTTAATTGTAACATCACAAAAATAATTAACTTTCTGGTGAAAAGAGATTTATTTTACAGTAACTCAGTAACTTCTTGATTTAACGTGAATCTGTCCTTAATTTAAAACCTTTAAAAGTTGTGCCTAAGAAGAAACTGCTATTACTTTTCTTAGCCTCTTTTCTGCCAATGGCATGGTCTGACCTGCATGTTGACTACACTACCATTACAAGCAATGTATGGCCATTTGCTGAGTGACCGTATTTACTGAGCTCCTTTAAATTAAGATATTGCTTTTAAAGTAGTGTTTTAAATGTATAATAATAATCATAATAATGTCACTGCCATTACTACTACATATAATCATAGTAATCATTTTTATAACAACTTTGTGATCAACAAAACCTAACTTTAAAATTCTGAAATTACATTTATATTTGTAATTTTTCAAAGTATGACACTATTATCCCCTTCTAAAACACTATGCAATATTAACACATAATGGCCTAGGCTCTTTGCCAAGTTGAATCCACAGTGCAGATAAGCTGTGATTTTGCTGTGAAGAATTAAAAGTAAATGTGAAATATGCCTACCAGAATGTCATTATTGGCTTTATTAATAACTTAATTGACATTAAGGCAAGCGCTTCAACCCTTAATGCAGTTTATAGAATTGCCAGAACACTGTGAGAACAGATTTTATTTTCCCTGAAGCTACAGTACTTGATAAGACCACATTTTATTCCAAGTGTTCAATGCGAATAGAGAAGAACACTAAATACTGAGTGTGAGAATAGTCACCATAAATCATTATAAATGCATTATAATAAAGACGTTATGAGCTATCGTATATTAGCTGTACTCTTCACATTGGAGATGATCTACATGTATATTCTGAATAAGTGTCTGATGTGGAGAGGTGGTTAATGTAGCCCTACCCTAATA